TATATTAGTAGATCATACTCAAAATAATAATTATTATAATAATAAGAAAATTCAATCCACGAAACTACCCCATTTCGTTGGCTGCGAGATCTCCCTCTGTGCTGCCAATTTCAACTATAAATATAATGGGTAAAAATTATATATATATATATTAGTAGATCATACTCAAAATAATTATTATTATAATAATAAGAAAATTCAATCCACGAAACTACCCCATTTCGTTGGCTGCGAGATCTCCCTCTGTGCTGCCAATTTCAACTAGACTTCCTTAAAACCCCGAAGTGGATTCTCTGTGCCGAGCTTCTTCAATTACAGATTTCCCTCACGCTAGTCTTGTCCAAGAAGCAAGAAAACTGCCACGCGTTACCGCCATTATCCCACTGGCTTCTGGAGCTCACTGGGCCCATGAAGAGCGGCCATGATGGTCAGCCTCACCAAGTCTCAAAGATGCCTCCTAGATCCTTCCGCTATATTTCCGTTCTTCTCCTGATAACTTCTCTCTCCAGTTTCAAATTGTTGGTATTTAGCTGGACGTAAACTGATGTCCGATGACATTTCTTTTGATTGCAGAAATTAAGCTTGATTGGGACTTCAGCCTTGGTTTCAAAATTCAAATCCAAGACTTTGTATCCATGAATTAAGATTGAAGAGGTTTTTAATTGGCTAAATATATATCCTTGTCAGTGATGAAACAATAAAATTGTCTATTTAGGGGACCAAAAAGACTACCTTAATTGGTCTTTGCATACTTTTCGTATTAAGATCCATAATCCGATCTTTCGATGTAACATTCAATGGCTGAAGAGATAGAATGACTAATTTATAATACGGATATGATTTCTATACGATATTATTAAAGTTGTCTTGAATTTTGATTAAAACTTGAGAACTTTTTTGATGATTATTGAAAGATGCAAGGTGGAAGGTAGAAGGTGAAAGTGAAGATGAAGACGAAAAATCTACCAATAAAAAAATTTATAATAAAAACTTGTTAATTTTATTTTAAAATTTCTAAAATATTAAAAGCCAAAACAAAAATCAGAAACTACAAAACAGAGCATAAGTATTCCATACTTTGAGCGACAGTCCAGTAATTTTCCACAATCCAAAGTTGTGGTCTCTACGGCTTTCTTCTTCCTCTGCCCCAGTTCTTTGAGCATTCAACCCATTTTTCTTTGAGGATTACAGAAAATTAAGATGTTGTAATAATTAAAATATAATAAATTTTAATAAAAGACTCAAATTTTTTTAATAAATTAAACACACAAACAATTTTTATTAAAAATATTTAAATAATTTCTCAAAAATTTAACATTTTAAATGTTAAAATATTTTAATTTTCCTTTTTCTCTTTTCTTCGACCATCCCACCTATTTTACGCACACAAGTTGAGGCTTTGGGCTCTAAAATCATGGGGAAAAAAATAAAATAATTTACTCTTTAGTCTGTGCAGGAAATTTTTGTTCATGGTTCCACGACCTGATTCACAGACACAGCCGGTTTTGGTGCACCCTGATGAGCTAACTGATCAAGATCTTTATCGTTATTACAGTTTCAGCAGTAACACTTCTTCCATGTCTTTGTCCGTTCAGCACTGGTAGGGGATATGAGGTCCTGACACGGTTGCAAAGCTAATGTTCCAATTTCAAATTGGTGGCATTAAGCTGCATTGATTTGATGGCGGGTGAAATTTCATTTTATATTGCAAAAATTAAGATAGATTAGAGGTTAGAACTTTAGTGTTGGTTTCGGATTGTAGACTTTGCATCCCTGGATGAAGATTAAGGGGGGACGTGAGGTCTCAATTCTTTCTATAATTGGCTAAAAATTTTCTTCCAAGTTAGCGAGTCATGAGAAATTGCCTACTGGGGGACAAAGAGACTACCACATTGGTCTTTGCATACTTTCTCTGTGAGATCCATAATCCAATCCTCGATATCACGTTAATGACTGAAGAGAAGCAATGACTTGTTTATAACGCAATGTATGATTTTTATACCGTATTGTTAACGCTGTCTTCAATTTTAGTTAAAACTTGAGAACATTTTTTATGATTACTTGTAGCTGTTTACTTATTCTTTGTAACTTTGCACTTGAAAGTATTGTAGAATAATTAACATAAATATTTTGAATGAATCAATAGATTTTGAA